ACTGTAAAAAGTAAGTTGTGAATTTGTAGATGAATATGAACATACATAAGCACACATTTACAAACACAGTGATGCTTGTAAATGCACAGACTTTCTACAAAGGTACACAAGAAAGGGAACTGGTTGCTTCTGGAGAAAGACTAGAGGATTGAAAGTATGAGGTCAGAAAAAGACTTTTGTTTGGTTGCACACACATTTGTGCTGCTTGAAATTTTTTGCCTTTTGTGGTTTTATTTTGGTCAAGAATATATTACTTTTTTAACTAAAGAGTTAATTAAGAGGAAGAAGAGAAATACGAGGCCAGCAGAAAGCTCCAGTCAGATAGAGTCCTCCATTTCCATAACCAAGATAGATTTGGCCTAGATTATGACAAGTTTCATAATTTCAAAATTCAGCAAAAATTAAAAATAAAATATATCTTGCTTTTCCCCCCATTTAACACTGGATCATCTTTTACTCAGTGTTATTAATGCCCCCAATAACTATTCACCAAGAACCTCTTAACTTCCCAGCACAGTTTGATGCTATGGGAAGTACCCAGAGGTGATAAGAACAATACCTTCCTTCACGTTACATATAATTTAACAAGATAAACAAGAAAATTTCAAGTAATAAAAGAGCTTAATGATTATTCAAGTTAATTCTGTCTGAAGTCTCTAAAAAATAGCTTTTTTGAGATGTTACAGTGTCACCAGAAGTCAGCAGGGGGCACTTCAAACATATCTGTGCCGAACTCAGGTTAGTTCATTTTCAGCCTAGATCTTTGATGTTTTGTCTGAAGTTACCTCGGAATGTGAAGTCCTCAGCAAAAAACACTGGTGGTCTTACATAGTCAAGTCAAGTCAGGTCCCAAAGAAACTCTCCTTTTATTTCCTACATGGATTTCAGTTTTTAAGTTTTTTTTTTTTTTTAATAAAACTACTTAAAAATTAACATGGGTTATAAATCCAGTAGGCTATCTGTGGGACATTCATTTTGGTTTTTATGAGCTGTCTTCTAGAAAAGGCCTACACCTTTCTCCCCCTCAGCAGTCACAGTATTTGTCTCTCTGGTATGTTCTGATGTGTCTCCCTCACCATAAGGCCTTGTTCCAGGACATGCCATTGCAATGCATTGGCTTTTTAAATTATTATTCACTCTCTTTTTAAAAATTATCTTTTATTTCTCTTCTAAACTTTATTTAGGCAAATCTTTTAATGCTGATATTAAAATATGATTTCTTTCTTTCTTTCTTTCTTCTTTCTTTCTTTCTTTCTCTCCTTTTTCTTTTTTCTTTCTTCTTTCTCTTTCTTTCTTTCTTTCTCTCTCTCTTTCTTTCTTTTTTTTCTTCCTTCCTTCTTTCTTTCTTTCTTTCTTTCTTTCTTTCTTTCTTTCTTTCTTTCTTTCTTTCTTTCTTTCTTTCTTCTTTCTTTCTTTCTTTCTTTCTTTCTTTCTTTCTTTCTTTCTTTCTTTCTTTCTTTCTTTTTCTTTTTTGTTGTTTGCTTTCTTTTGTTGTTTGCTTTCTTTTGTTCTTGGAAGAAGGGAGGGGATTGATATCCCCAATGCAAAAAACTAAAATCCTTAAAATGTGTCTGGATTATTTAACACCATACTTTTATCATTGAAGCAATTCTTTCCATACTCCACAGTTCCTTCACCCCCAGAGCAAAGAAAGTATCACTGGTTCCTTTATTCAAACCTGGAGGAGGAAGGAGATAGTAGCAAATTGGCTAAATATAATATTTATTTATATTTTATCTTTTTCAAAATAGAACACCCAACTTTACCAATGGAGAATTATACTCTGAATTTAACCTTCTTTTGAACTGCCACTTGGAATTGCTTCAACATAGCTTTGCTAGGTAATGAATAAAAGAAGTCTGCAAGGTCAGCATCTCCACTTATCAACTGTCCAGTAGGACAGCTCTAGCCTCAGGGACCAGATCCCAGAGCTATGATCTCAACCTCATCCTCACCCTCATTGTCACATCACCATCTCTGACAGATGCAGCCTGTGCATATGTGCATATGGTAGGTGGCACTGGAAAAATTTTTGACAGCAATTTTTGGTTAGCATTTTGATTTTGTTTTTTCTTATTAAAAGTCAATAGATTTTTAAGTACTTATTATATTTAAGAGTTTATATTTGTAAATTTTATTTTCATTAGCCATGCTTTTTTCTACATTAAATATAATTTTTGTGGTAAAGACCAGATCTACTTCAGTACTGATGTTGTTTTAGAGCCCACTTAAACATTCCATCATATTTTAATTTAGGAAAAAAAGCCACAAAAAATATATGCCCTAAATTATGCATGTGCAACAAACATCTGCTTCTCAGCTTTTTCCAATTTGTAATTACAGCAAGATTAAAATATAACCATCAAATATTTTTCCCCCTTGGGATCGCCAAAGGGAAAAACTTTGAGATTTGTGGTTACTGTTATTTATTCTTGGTTTCATCTTCCCTCAACTGTACAATGGGAATATTATTAAGTCCAGAGTGTTTTTTGTTTTTGTTTTTGTAATGATTAAATGCAGAAACGGATGAAAAGTGCTCAGTGTATGCAAATAGCAGTCCCTCAGTCTAAATAATAGATAGATTTAACAAGATAAACAAGAAAAGATAAAACTTCACTACAGTTCTGGAGTTTCTGGTCCTTTCTGTAGGCAAATCCATTTAACTTTTAATTTACATCGTTTTAAACATATACCAGGAGCAAGTGTCCTGCTGTAAGAATGCTGGGTTGTTAAACTTTTATAAAACAGTTTAGCTTCTTCTAATCTGAAGATTTTTAAGCCTGTTACAAAGGAAATGCCAACTACGAAAAAAGTCAAGCATCATGTCATCGGTAATCAAATAACTTTGCTGAAGTTTGGACGAGGCACTTCACTGAGGCACTTCGCTAACGCACAGGCAGTCCAGACCTGGAGATCAACAGCCTCCGCAATACAACGCAGGCATCTTTGAGACAGCCAATCAGGAGAGCGCATTGCCACCACACCCACCTGTTCATTGCTTGTCCTGGCGATCGGAGCCAAATTGTCTCCTTTTTTTACCAGGCTGAGTTGCTAGGAGTTAATTCTTCCTGGAAATCTCTGCCACTCCGATGGACATGCAGCATAACAGCACAGGCCATTCCAAAGCTGGTTTCGTGTTAAAAAAAAAAAAAAAATTAACCCTTTATTTCTTTGGTTTTGTTATCTGTTAACCTGGGAAATCATTTTAAACATACATTATAAGACTCAGACTTCCCTTTAGCAATTACATAAAATCTTGTGGTTCTCTGAAAGACACAGAAGTGCAGATTGGGTTGTTTATCTTAGTAAACAATATTTATGTGGGAAAATAGACCTCACGAGTATTCTATATAAGATAATAGGCATTTTTGCACTTTTGTTTATATGTCATTTATATCTTGAGCACATACCATGCAACTGTATTCATTTTGTGTCATTTTTTTTTAAATTAGAATTTCCTATATAGTTTTTGGAGGGCTACCACATCACAGTTATTCATCTTCTGCACAGTCTATTCTAAGGTTCCTCTGAGGGGTTTAATTCTTTGCAGGTTTCAGAATTCCTCTATATGCTTTGTCATATAGAATGAATGTGCACAATATATTGTTGAAAAATTGCAAGACAATATGTTGTGTTGTGGCATTTAATCCATCAAATTAACAATAGAATTTTATTTTACAGAATAGCAAATTTATAATTACTGGGGTATTATCAGATGTATTTCATTTATAAGAAAAACTTAACATGTGAGCCCAGTTTAAATTCTGTGGCCTTTCATCTTTCTCACACACAAATGTGGATGGGGGTAGAATGAATAGAAGGAAGCATTCAGGATATTCAGAGAAATAATTCAATATAGACAGTGAATTGGAGGTTTTGATTTATGAGTCTGTTTCTCAGATGTAAAGTGTGGAGTATAAAGATAATTGTTTTTCTTGGCTAATGCAAATTATTTACATTTAGAAAGATATTTGAAAGTATTCTGAACATTTTGACAAAAAATACAATATCCAATGAGACTTCATTATTATTTTACTTGCATACCTCAAGACAACATTTTTAATAGGTTATTAAGATATAATTTACATAACACAAATTTCACCCATTTAAAGTGTACAAGTCAACGTTTTGCTACAATGTAATTTTAAAACATTTTTTATCACCATTCACGCAAAACTTCTCCATTGTTCCCCAGCCCCTATTCCCCAGCACCAGGCAACCACTAATCTACTTTCTGTCTCAAAATGTGCCTGTTTGTGGATCTTTATATAAATAGAATCATACAATATGTATTTTTTGTGACTGGCTTCTTTCACTTAGCATAACAAATCTAGTTTTATATTATTTGACCTCAACAATCTGTCTCTGATGATAAAATATTATCCTTGGATTCCTGTATGAGTTTGAGGAGTGGGTATAATTTTCGTGAGAGAAAACTTAGAAACTAGTTAGAGCAGGAGGGCTTTTCTCCACCACATAGGCTAATCCATTTTGCCAATATTAATATACCAGATTGTGCAAGCATAAGATGCAGAACAATGTGTGTCCACGGATCCCTAAATTGACATTGTACAGAATTTTGGGAAAAACAGAAAGATAAACAACAACAAACATTGCAAGTTACAAACAGAAGCCATCAAAAGAGAAGTATAGTTTAAGTATTGATCAAATGTAGTTTAACAGCTTAACTTCCCCTCCTTGGAAAACTGGTGATTGAAAGTATTTAACATAAATGCATATAAATTTGTGTTTGGTGCTTGTACAGGGGGCCCTTGCAATACAGAGTCCTTAGGAAAAGCAAAGAGGAACCTTACGGAGAAAGCAAATTTTCCCTTCTGCCCTTTTCCCCTCTTCTCACGGACAAGATTTATCCTCTTTACAGTTTGCTCAAATACTTGGAAGTGAATTTAGGGCCCTCCCCCCAACTTATGATTTTATAGCCAATAGGTGATGAGGTTTATTTGCATATTTCCAGTCACATAAGCAGCTGTGGAGTGGAAACAGTGTCAGACTCGATTCTTCCTCCTCCTCTTCGGAGGGAACCTGCCACTTCTAGCTGCCCTGCCCTCCCTTTTAAAGGGCAACTTGCCCCACGCCGGACCTCAGCTCCAGCCTGCTCCCGCCTCGGGCTCAGCTGGTCCATCACCCTGTCCGCGCTTCTGCCAGTGCCCTGTAGCTTCTACAGAGAGACGCGCCCCGAGATGGAGAGCAAAGCACTGTTCCTGGTGGCCCTTGGCATGTGGCTCCAGAGTCTGACCGCCACCCGCGGAGGGGTGGCCGCCGCCGATAGTAAGTTTTGCCCGAAGATTCCTCTCCACCTGCAGACTCCACTTTGGCCAGTTCCACACGTTATGAGGATGGGAAAGAGGGAGTCGAAAGGGGTTGCAGATGTGTACCGGAGACTCTCCTAGACTGAGCGCCGGTTCCGAGAAGACTCTACGGGCTGAGATCCGGGAGGGGTAGGGAGGGAATTCTCCCTCAGATTTTCCTGGAGTCGTTCCCGCGTTGTCCCTTCCAATCTGGCTGAGGCAGTGTTTCCGGGTCCGTAGACTTAAAGAGGAAGAGTAGGGGGGTAGCTCGAGGGGCGGGACGAGAGAAGTCGGAGGAAGGGCTTAAATGGCGGTGATCGGCAGTAATTGCCTCTCACGAGGACCCTGGAATGAAAGGCACGCAGGTCAAGGTGACCCTGGCGCGGCCGCCACCGCGGCTCGGCCCCCGCCTATGGGTGCGCCAGGAGAGAGTGGCCCCTTCTCTTCGAGAAGCCGACCCGAGGGGGTGGGGACGGGGGAGGAGGCGTTGTCCGTATCTCAGAAGCACTGGACGCTCGCTTTCGGCGTCGACACGGTGGTGGGGGACTGGACGCGTGGCGCCGAGTCCCGCGGACGCAGCGTCCTGCAAGCGTTCGGGAGCCCGGGAAGCTCTCCAGCTTCCATTCTTGCACGCGCCGCTTTTCTTAGCACCCAGAAAACCTAGCGAAGGGCTACCCTCCTGAAAACATGGCGCAGCGACCTGCAGTCTGTGGCCGCTGGCTTGGGTGTTACGAGGTTTGCATTCGGCTACCCTTAAAGTCCTCGGAGCCGAGTCCAGCTCTGACGCCCAGCCTCGCGAAGCGTCCACAGGCACGTGGGGCTTCCGGGAGGCGCAACCTGAACCCCAGCCACCGCCCTGGCGCCACCGGATCCTCAGGGTTAAGGTATTACAGGAGAGATGCGAATTTCTTTATTGCAGGGAAGGCAAAAGACCAGCCTGAGACCTGCCCACTATAGAGGCAGTCCTAGTACCTTGAACCCTGCTTGGTTCACCGAACATACAACAGCAACCAAAAGGCAACTGAAGCAACTCGTAAGCGCAGGCAACATTTTCTTCCCCCTTCGTGGTGAAATTGCAGTTAGGGCAGTGTGGCTTGGATGTGCTTACAGGCAGCATGGTTCAAGTTACAGTCGAGTTTGTCCATGACTTTGATTGCAGCTGAAAGTTTATTTCAGCAGTGGGTTGTAAAAGAACATTTTTGTTAGATTTATTTAAAAAATGTAGATTTCATCAAATCTGATTGGATTAAAAAAACAGTATCTGGAGGTGCAATTAAAAAGTCTTAAATATCTTATAAGGGCATGTTCCCCTCCATAGTGTTTAACCCCGTCCGAGAAGATGGTAGGAACAAATTCCATATTCTTGCAGAAAATACACCATGGTGTGAAGTTACTTTTACCATAAAAACCACACAAATATTTGTTTTCCACAGTTTGTTTTTGCTGGCTTTTTATTTATTTTGAGAGACGGGGAGAGCGCGAGAGCACACAAGGTGAGGAGCGGGGAGAGGCAAAGGGAGAGGGAGAAGCAGACTCCCCGCTGAGCAGGGAAGCCCTACCTGGGACTGGATCCGAGGACCTTGGGATCTTGACCTGAGCGAAGGCAGAGGCTTAACCGATGGAGCCACCCAGGAGCCTCTGTTTTTGCTGGCTTCTTAGAAGTTCACGACCCTAAATTCCTGGTCTAGTTGGTGTCACCTCTCTGGGTTTGAATTCCTCAACTGAGAAATGAGGAGTTCAGGCCACACTCAAAATTATCTTAGTCTTCTCTAATTCACACTCTTTGGTTTAAATGGACACTGTGATTGATGAATTAAATTGGATTTTAAGCAACGTGTGCTTTAGCTAGCTGTAAATCTGTCAAGGAAGGAATCTTTTTTTTTTTTAATAATTTTGAAATTTTTGTTTTTTTAAGAGAGAGAGAGCACCTGAGCACGAGGGGCGAGGGGCCGGGGTGGGGGGAGAGAATCCTAAGCAGGCTCCACACCCAGCGCTTAGTAGATGCTGGGCTCCGTCTCCAGAGCCTGAGACCTTGACCTGAGCTGAAATCAAAAGTCAGATGCATAAGGGACTTAGCCACCCAGGTGCCCCAAGGGAGGAATCATTTTTAAGTAGACATGAAATTAATCCCTCCTATCCTTCCCTCCTACTCTCACTCCACCACTCCCTCCCTTTCTATTATGCTTCTCCCATCACAGCAAATTTATGCCCCTTTTCTCCTCCAGATGAATTCATCTAGGAATGTAACGATTTCAGAGGCAAAAGATATGAGTGTGAGAGAATGGTAAACAGCACCTCTCTGGGCTCTGACTTATTCTGGATTTTTTTTTTCCTAAGAAGAATGTGAGGATATGAGGTGCTAACTGCCCTCAGGCTCTTTGTTGAAGCCACCTCAGTCCCTGCAGGGCCTCATTAGGAAACTTGAAGAGCTACACAAGGAGCATATGGATCAGTACTCAGGAGCTGCAATTCTATTTGACCTGCCATAGTGAATTTCCAGGCTATCATCTAAGTTAAATGTGATGGGTGATAACAGCAAAATAGCTGATACCATTTGCAAATGGAGCAGAGCTCAGCACTGGAGTGATTGATTAATAGTAGTATTGAAAATTGTGTGTCAGACACAGGGGTAGAGTTACAATGGAACATTTTCACTTTCTTTCAGGTAGTGTAGTGTATTTTTAGCTTAACCTTTCTTCTTTGCATTGTTCAGGAGGAGAAATTGAGCTATATAGTTTACTGCTTCTATTTTATGAACATTTTTTTTCTATAAAAATGAAAAGCAAATCTATTGGTTAAATAAATCAAGAGCATGTCTACATCGGAATATCTGAAAAGACCAATCACTTTAGTCAGATTTTTTTTCCCCTGATCAAACTTTTTTTGTTCTCACCCAGTCAGTTTGGTTTTTGGCATTCTGTAGAAGCTGCCTGGGTCAGTAAGGATGACCATCAGTTTCAGAGAGAAGGTAAATTATTGCTGAAGTCCTTTAAGTATGTGTGTGGTGGGGTAGAAACTTCTAAGAGAATTGCATTATAATTGAGCTCTTGTACCTCATGTCTTCATATGCACACTAATCCTATTCATCTGATAATTGTGAGCTGACTTTAGAATATCTTTCCTGGGATGCTCAATGTTCCTTCTTTTCTAGGAACAATAATGTAATCCCCAATAAATTTACCTTTGAAGTGCTTTGATCTCTAGTTTCATCTCTGTGAGTTATTATCCACATTAAGTAAATTCCTTGTCTTTTTTTATACGCTTAGAATTTTAGCTATTTAATAATTTAGAAATAAAGATTATATAGGCAAGAAATGCATTAACTTGTATCTTACCCCAAATCTTGTCTTAGTGCTGAATAAGGACATATCTGATGGGAACCATTTGGTGTGGTGATGCTGATATGATAAGTTGAATTCAGGATGGAAGCTCTTATGAAGGAATACAACTTAGGCAGCCTCCCTTCCACTAATTTAAAGTAGCTTTAATTTCTAAGGGGACCTGACAAAAAAGATCCTTATCCTCTTAAGAAAGATAAGTGCAGAGTCTTTAATACCATTTTCATGTATGGAAAACAATAATTCTCTTAGTAACAATGGAATCAAATCAGTTCATCTGCCAGCCAAGAGCAATCCCAGTGTATACGGGGACAGCTAAACATGTTGACTGACACACATCAGTTGTGTGAGAAAGTGAAGCTTGGGAAGTACATTCATCTTTAGGATGCTGAGACACTCTTACACCAGTAGTGTGAAAATTTCTCTCAGAATACCAAAGAGAAGGAAAGACTGACTGTAATCACTAATAACATTTATGATTTCATATATAGAATTGACATAGAATTGAAAACATCTTGTAGCATATAGAGTGGTGCTGTCTTCCTGTCAAATGCTTCATTATGCTTTCTGTAACTTAAAATGAAAAAGAATTTCCCTGAGAAGTGAAATAAAAGTCTCCAAATACAAATTTGTTTGAGAATGTATGAATTTCCTATTTTTTTATTTAGAAGCTATACCCAATAGGAAATGTTAGTTGTGGAAAATTGGACCTCTCAAATGGGCTATGCAGATAATCTGTACAGGAGCTATGATTTTTCTTTTTTTTTTTTTTTGAGAGGGAGCCTGCAAGGCCCAAGAGGGGAGGGGTAGAGAAAGGGAGAGAATCTTAAGCAGATTCCACCCCCAGTGCAGAGCCATCTCGGAGCTCGATCTCACCATCCTGAGATCATGACCTGAGCTGAAATCAAGAGTTGGATGCTCAACTGACTGAGCTATCCAGGCACCCCAGAATCTATGAACTTAATAGACTTTTTTTTTTTTGTGGAAATATACAAAGCTAGCCTTAATAATGTCAGAGAATATTCTTAGTCATTTCAAAACCACCAACAACACCAGGGCTATGAATCTATGAATTAAATAAACTTTTTTTTTCATGGAAATATACAAAGCTAACTTTAATAATGTCAGAGAATATTCTTAGTCATTTCAAAACCACCAGCAACACAAGGGCTACTGTATTGCATAATTCTAGGGAAAAATAGACCGAAGTGAGTGGCATCTTCTGGAGTCATGCAAGGCAATAGTCTTAAATATCAGTTTAACAAATAGGTGGTGGGCGAGATCTGTCTGCCAGGTCATTTTGATGATTTCTACTTCATAAAAATTCACAATCAAACATGTTAAAATATGATTATTGAGGAGGGATGAGTTATTTGATGTGGAGAGATATGGGATAGGTGAAACTAATTTAGTTTTAAATTTTCTAAAGTACTTTGTAACAATAAAAAAACTTCTTGGGCATTGAGAGCAGAATCAGATTAAAAATTTACAATATTTTTTTCTACTATCAGGTAAATAATAAGGCCACCAAAGTACTTCCTGGCTAGAAAGCAAAAGGAAGACCTACATCCTCAAATAAGATGGAAGGCAGAGTGTATTTTTAATAAGTCAATGGCTTTCAAGTGCACTTTTACTATATGAAAATGAAAAAAAACTTAAATATCAATAGTCTATCACAGGTTATCATTTGAATAAATTATTTTAGAATGTTCAGGTGCTAGAAATTGTGTGTGTGTGTGTGTGTGTGTGTGTGATCAACTTGTCACCTATAATGAATTACTTAGCAAGTAGCCACAATATTGCTTAAGGAGTTTTAGAAAATAATTAAAAAGGAAAACGTTGGCCAGTACTCAGCTAAGTACATGATAAGCCTGATTTGAATCCCTGTACATTCACTATACTGTATCATTCTTATTTTCACTTTTTGCCTGGCTTTTGCAATGTTACTTGAAATTACAGATTTTTAGCATTTGAATTATGAAAAGTGTTAGTTTAAATTAAGAAATTAGAAGGACCAATTATTTATCTTCTGAGTTTTAAATAGAGAAACCTAAAAGTTACAAATTATTACCTTATAGTAAATAGTTTTTAATATTTTTTACTTGCGTTAAGAAATTAATTTCCCCTAATATAACTTCCCTTTGACATGCTCACTTTAAGAATTTGACTTTATTTAAAATACAATTTACTTCAAGCATTCACTGTAGTATTAAATGAAGACATCAAAATTTAGATTTATTATCAAGAGAGTCAAAAGGTTGGCTGAAGTTTTATTTCTCTCCTTATTCACTTCAGGATTGACTATGAAGTCAAAGTGGATTTTTTCCCAAACCTGCTTTGCTGTAGTTTTTTAAGCTTTGACTTTGTGTGAAATACTGCAAAGACAAGTAATATTGGAAAAGAAATATTTGGGGAAAGAACTAACCAATTCAGGGGCACCTGGATGGCTCAGTTGGTTAAGTGTCTGCCTTTGGCTCAGGTCATGATCCCAGGGTCCTGGGATCAAGCCCGGTGTCTGGCTCCCTGCTCAGCGGGAAGCCTGCTTCTCCCTCTCTCTCTGCTGCTCCCCCTGCTTGTGCTCTCTCACTCTTTCTATCAAATAAATAAATAAAAAATTTAAAAAAAAGAATTAACCAGTTCACACATAGCACAGGCATTTCTGAATGATTTTTTAAAACATTTTTAACTGATGTACCTTGCTATGGGGATGGGAATAATTTTATACAAAAATTTACTTAGGCTTCCAACTTTCTTATTGCTAACATTTAAAAAAATTATGCTAGTGAAAAGGAAACAACCTTTCCTCAGGCCTATTATATCATATTTTGGGAAAACATTCCTTTGATGTAACCAGAGAGTGAAAGAGGGTGAAATAATATATGAAATAAGTGGAACTTTACAATGCAAGAGCCATGAGCCAGTATTCTTTGGGAGAATGAGTTTTGAATTATAACCAAGAGACCTGGATTCTGGTCTCTGTCAACTTTGATCACCAGTGGAGGATTAGTCATTCTCTTGTAATCTACATATATTTAAAAAAATAGAAACAAAAATAGCACTGGTGGTAGCTGCTTATAAACCTAAAACATACCATTCCAGCAAATAAAACAACCCTCCAATTAGCCACCTATCCAATTTTTCCTTTTCAGGAATTACGGGAGGAAGAGATTATATAGATATTGAAAGTAAATTTGCTCTAAGGACCCCTGAAGACACAGCTGAGGATACTTGCCATCTCATTCCTGGAGTGACAGAATCTGTGGCTAACTGCCACTTCAACCACAGCAGCAAAACCTTTGTGGTGATCCATGGCTGGACGGTAAGATAGTCTTTTTGGGAAGGAACAAATTGGGATAGACCAGGCATCCTGCCTGACTGGCTTGCTCCCATTGTTGGGAACCCCATGATGAGTCTCCCTATCTTGTACGTCTGCTTGTTTTCCAATGGTTTTACTTTAAAGTTGAGTACAGGCAATTCTGGTTTGGGGTGGGGATTGTGGAATCTAAACTCACATGTTCATGAGTACTTCCCCCAGGTAATGCCATCTTTCATTTTATCATGGTATTTAATTGATACCCTCAAACCAGCCATTCTTGTGAGGTGGGAAAATAAGACTTTGCTCAACTACAGAGCAGAATGTAGGTTATCATTCTAGGAAACCAGCGGAGACCTGTCATGATCCTGATTCATGCAGCACATCACCAAATGTCCTTTCCTAAGGGAGAAGCTATCAGAGAGAGGAGAGGGTTGGAATAGAGTGAGGAGATATTGATTCTGGTTCTGGCTTTGCCATTCTCCAGCTCTGTGATGTGATTGATGCTACTTCTCATCTCCAGGCCTCAGTTGACTGATGTGTAAGACAAAGAGGTTAGACTCTACGTCCCAAATTCTCCAGTTGTAAACTTTAGGGAACTTTTCTAGAGATGAAAGAGGGCCAGCCAGGGAAGTGTCATGCAAAATGATTAGAAAAGGTGAAAACTGTGGTTACATTTACTTTTACTTTTAAAGAATACAAATAGGTGATGAGGATTAAGGAGTACACTTGTGATAAGCACCAGATGTTGTATGGAAGTGTTGAATCACTCAATTTTACATGTGAAACTGTGTGTTAACTAACCAAAAGTTAAATAAAAACATTTAAAAAAGAAACAAAATACAAAAATAAAGAATACTATTAAAGTAGTGGCTTCTAAATGTGCCAGTCACTTTCCATGGTGCAGTTCTTAGCTACTTCAGTTGGTTGTTAATATTTTCAAATCCTAGTGAGCAGATTTCATTTTTTTATGTAAAAAGGACTTCCATAAAATGGGAGGTTAGAGAGAAATAGTCCTGCCATTATGTCAGAGCTTGTGAATAAAGTAATAGATACTAAATAAATTCTAACAAGATGAATTAGAGAATGATTGATAGACTTCTAGTCTCAATTTCTTTTCCTGTGTAACTTAAGTGCCTTTCTTATTAACAATCCTGGACAATTGCTATAACTTTTACAGAGGTGAAGGCAACTACTAACAGAATTTACGTGGATGTTTATTTTAAAAAAATCTATTTACTAGAATTAACATAATAAATTACATATCTCATGACAAAAATATATATTCAAATTCTTAACAGATGTTTTTACATTTTAAGAGATTTAAATAAGAAGAAGCAATCCTTGGTAGTTTTAGAGACATTTTGGTTGTATATAGAACTTTAAATACTTTTCAAAAAAGTATAGTAAGCTTAATAAACATTTTTTATGACAGAATAAATTGAATATCTCAAACATCTCAATCTTATCCCTAAGAGAACTTGATACTTTAGGAATTTTGCAAAAGCATAGTTCCTTCTCATGCAAAGATGACATACGAACCCAGTATCAGCAGATAGTGCCAATTTCTATCATTGGTCTTCCTGCCCACTAAGCCCACCATATTCTCCACACTGTGTGTCCTGACATTTTGAGAGCCCAAGCCTCAGAGGCTAGGCCACTGGCTGTAGAACTGAGTTTCATCATCAAGAGCTGGTTGGTCTATGCAGTAACTAATCCAGCCATACTGGGTAACTGATCTCAGCTTATCTCAGTGGAATGCCTGGCTGGTTCAGTTGGACCACCTGGAATGAGTGGCCAGAAGGGCTTCAGTTCAGCTGTGTGTCTGAGAATCAAAGATTTTAAAAATTTGTGCTGATTTTAGGAACCTCAGAAAAAAACCCCGGTAAATAATACCTTTTTAGAGTTAAAGAAGGTGAGTACTTGGATTTTCCACCCCTTTATTGTTTAGGGCTACTTATAGCCATATTTTAAATTGAATTAAAAAAGAAAGGATTGGAATAGTTTTTAGGCAGTTAGTAAAAGTATCAGTCACTGTAGGAGTAAGTTGGGTTACTTACTTTTTGACAGATTGCCTAACTTGGAAACACTGATAATGCAGAAAAACTTGTAATAGGGGTTTAGAGCAAACAAGATTTTTTGCCTTATCTGAGATAGACTGTTTAGCAACTCAAGGTCATAGGACAAAGAGAAATGTAGAAGTTCTGCAGCTTTGCCATGGAAAATTCAAAAGAATGCTTAGCGTGTAGTATGCATAGAGCACATTCCAGAAGGCAGTTGAGACACAGTTGTCCTGGAGCTTTGCCACTGGCTTAGGTTTCATAGACCAAAGTGTTAAGTACAGAGTTCTCATTGTAGTAGGAGGTCCTCATGCCTGGCTAAAAGGAGTGGGTAACATTGCATTCTGAAGAATTGACATCATCCTCTCTTGAAAGGCAGTTGCAAAGTGTGGCAAACCCCAACATCTAAGAGAGGAGAAGGGGAGACAGGACCAATTCATCGGGGTTTTGGGCTAGGTAGGTGTTCTGACTTGTTCCCTCAATGACCCAGGCTGCGCTTAGACTTTTTAAAGCAGCCTCTTGCTGAGACAGGTTCAAAGAAGGTTTAAATAAGTTTCTGATGGACTAACATCACCTTTACACCTTTTCTTTTTTCTCTTCATACTTGAAATGGCAATAGCTTTAGAGCTGGTATTAAATTACTGCAAATAGATTGGGAGTCAGAATGGTTACAAGAAGACATTTATGAGGTGGCAGGTAACTTCAAGATCATCTGAACCCACACCCTTTGTATTATAGGTGGCCTAAAAGGTTAAAACAGTGCCTACATTCATAGAAGTAATTATTGGAAGAGCTGGGACTGAAACCAAAATCTCCCGAGTTTCAGGCTTCCTTTTTCTTACCACAGAGCACAGCAATGAGATGAAAAATTGTACAGTTGTTAGTGTCAGGAGTGAAATGAGATCTCATGTTTTGATAGTTTTAGCCTAGAAAATAAACTAAATAAAATGGAAGCATAAATCTGAAAGAATCTACTATATAAGACCTAAGTTCCAAATGAAGTCCCTTGGTTTGAGAATTCATGACTCTTATTTTTGTTGCCGGAATTAATCTAAGAAGAACATAGGTTTTATAGGTCTCCCCTGAAAAGCTACTTTAAACATGTATTTCAGAACCTTCTTCGTTGAGTACATATTTAAGTAACCTTTACTGTGGCTACAACATGATTTTCTCTCAGGTCATGATAGGGGTGGGGAGATTTGGGAATCTGAATCAGGTTACTGTTCTGTTCAAGTTCATGGCAAGATGGTGCACAGTTTTACAGTGTGCAGTTTTTAAGTGTGTTTCCATTATTTTAAAGTATGCATCTTTGCAAAGGTGTCCAATGTCCTCTCTGAAAACTTAAATTAAAATTTTACATAGAGTTAACCCGAAAACTCTTACAGTTCTTTTGACTTTGAATTTGGGAGCCTTTTTAAAATAAGAAGCAAAGACTTACATTTGGAAGTCTCCTTATCTCCAAACAGGGCCAATCTAATAATTGGTAATTGTGACTATTAAGCCTCATTAATTCCACTCTGATAATTAAGAATTTGAGAGAATTATAAAAAAATCTAAGCTGAAGCTGATCATTTGCTTATGTATTAACAAAGAGATTGCTAAATGAATTTACCTGCTGTTAGGATTAGTATGTTTGAAACTATTTTTTTTCATTAGCACTTCAAATGTTTTATATAAATGACTCTCTATAAGAAGAAAAAAGTGCGTTCACATCCTCCAAAATAATATGGTTGGGAAAAATTTATTAGCCTAATTAGAAGTAATGAAATTTATTTTGAAATAGTATATAATTCTGCTGCAGAATTTTAACTTATCCAGATTGATCTTTTATATAAATTACTGGTTTTACAAAATTTATAAAACAAGTTTTTAAAAATTGGTGGTTTAAACCTAATCTGCCCTTCCTCAGCTTAACACATTCCTTCTTTGGCATACTCAAATTTTCCTCAGGAGAAGCAGGCACAAGTCTCTGAATATTCTTTTGCATGGTTTGATTTTTTTCTGAGCCAATGGGCTTCCTTTCAGGTTTGTTTTCTTTCCATTTAGTGTAGGTGTATTAGGCTGACATATCGATAACAAGTTGCAGGTGGGTATTTTAGGAAAGCTTGTATCATCCTCTTCAGGTGACAGGAATGTATGAGAGTTGGGTGCCAAAACTTGTGGCTGCCCTGTACAAGAGGGAACCTGACTCCAATGTCATTGTGGTGGACTGGCTGTCACGGGCCCAGCAACATTATCCAGTGTCTGCCGGGTACACCAAGCTGGTGGGAAAAGATGTGGCCAAGTTCATCAACTGGATGGCGGTAAGACTGGGGGAAGAAGGGTTATCTGTCCAAAACTGATCCCTTCGCTAGTGCTGCACAGAAGGCTGGTCTTTATTCCTTTTCACATAAATATAAATATTTTCTGGGGCAATTCAAATCTTCAGAATAAGCACAGGCATTTTTTTTAGCCAGAAAGCAGCATTATGATAAGAATGATAAAACTGTAAAGTCAAGGCATAATCCTGCCCTGCCCTATCCTTTGATATTCTCATAGTGAATAGATCTGGTGAGACCAAGGACTAAGTAGGCCGAGCAGACAAAAGCTTGTTATTTCAGGGCAGAGGGAAGATGTCAGGTTAAGCCAAATTCTTCTCTACCACTTGGCTGGCACATGGAAATGTTATCCTGTCTTTGACCCATTAGAATACCAATCTTTTTCATGAAAAGATTAATAATACCCATTCCTTAGTGTAGATTAAAGATCCAGATTTTTATTGAGGGTTAGGGGACTGATAGATTTGAGCTAGGAAGAAAATGACAGGCAAGGTCTATGAGGTGGCTACGGGTCAGGAGTTCTGATTTAGCTTCCACTTTTATCTACTTTATTCTCTGATGTCATCCTCTAAAAATTACCTTTGAAAAGTATCTTGGGATTGGCTGAAAGAAAGTTAATACTCTGACAGGGCCAAATTATTTAAGCCAGATACTTGGAGGTAGAAAAATAATCTCTGTTTATTGGACTGACCATTAAAAGATAAAAGTTCTTTTCTTGACAATTTTGCTCATCAGGAAAGTGAATCTGGGCAAATCAGATCGCCTGCCTGGGCCTCAGGCTTCTCATCTGTTGAATAAAAAGACTGGACCATATGTGTATGTGGTTCATTCTCCCTGTAATATTTTCTGGTTTTAAGTCATTTTTCTGGCTAACCTTAAAGAATAAAGTGATGTAGGGTATTTAGAGTAGGGAATAATGGGTTAAGGTTAAATATATATTTAATATATGTGTGTGTATTTACATATAGTTTATCCACATATAGATGCACACATATATACATATATCTACATTTAAATATATAACGACACATGTACATGTACATGCATACATATGTTTTCAGATATATGGAAATTCAGATTTCCATACACTTCAGTTTCAGATGGATGGGAAAACTTTCTAATTAAATATGTTTTTAAAGAAAGAGAAAAATCTCAACACTAGAGTGATTGATCTAGAGCACAAAATTAAAATAAGTAGAGTTAATTTTCAGCATTGCCTGTATTTCAAAAACAATACTTATATTCATTTTTTTTCCTTTTAGCTTTGATCCTTTGTATAGAACTGTAAGAAGCCCTTTTTCTTTTTCTCTTCCAAAGGAGGAATTTCACTATCCTCTGGACAATGTCCATCTCTTGGGATACAGTCTTGGAGCCCATGCTGCTGGCATTGCAGGAAGCCTGACCAATAAGAAGGTCAATAGAATTACTGGTAAGAAAGCAGTGCCAGGAGTCTTATCACAGAAGTGTTGAGATGCCTGTCATTCTGAAAGAGAATCAGAATGTTTGTTAAATACCCATATGTATGTGGTGTTCCTCTGTGTTCGCCCAGCCATTTGATTATGTCATGGGAGGGCTTTTTTTTTCCTGAAGTAGGATAGAATATGGGCCCTTGCTCTCTTGGGCTTACCACCTACTGTCAGAAGAGAAATAGAACAGAGTTAAGCATGGAGAGCCAAATGGAGTCTCTGGGAAGCTCATTTCCCTCCTCTCTCTGCTCTGTGCTTTGGTGGTATATTGCATGTATGTCACCTCTCACATCAGTGCTGGGAAAAATGAAAAAGGACCGACACCAGAGGCTAGTTGTAAAAAGGAAGACAGTCAACCAGGGCAAAGGCAATGGATGATTTGGCAGGCCTAAGGAAAAAGAAAGAACCCACCATTGTTTAAAGGCCTTCTCCCCAGGGTCAAAAATAATTTACAAAAGGAGATCTACTTGTCCTGAATGAAAATTGCTATTTAATGGCTAGTTCAAGAGACTCAGATTCCTTTCAGAGGAGCTAGGCCTACTTTTAATACTCTCAGTACTTTCAGAATTCAATCACTACTGGAACTAGTTGGTATTATGCTAAGCAAAATAAGTCCATTGGAGAAAGACAATTATCATATGATCTCACTGATACGTGGAATTTGAGAAACAAGGCAGAGGATGATAGGGGAAGGTAGGGAAAAATGAAGCAAGATGAAACCAGATAGGGAGACAAAACATAAAAGACTCTTAATCTCAGGAGACACTGGAGTTTGCTGGAGTGGTGGGGGGTGGGAGGGATGGGGTGGCTGGGTGATAGACATTGGGGAGGGTATGTGCTATGGTGAGCACTGTGAATTGTGCAAGACTGATGAATCACAGACCTGTACCCCTGAAACAAATAATACATTATATGTTAATCAAAAAAAAAAAAAAAAGAATCCAATCACTACAGAATAAGGAGCTAATAAAAACCTATGTGGCTGCCAGTTACATTCAAATGATGAAAAATTGAATGCTAAGGTGACACTAATGGAGGCTAAAATGAATGGGAATTTAAAAATCTGTGAGGCCTGTATTTTTTTTTTTTGCATTAAGGCCTAGATCCAGCTGGACCTAACTTTGAATATGCAGAAGCTCCAAGTCGCCTTTCTCCCGATGATGCAGATTTTGTAGACGTCTTACACACATTCACCAGAGGGTCGCCTGGCCGAAGTATTGGAATCCAGAAACCAGTAGGACATGTTGACATTTATCCTAATGGAGGCACTTTTCAACCAGGATGTAACATTGGGGAAGCTATCCGTGTGATTGCAGAGAGAGGCCTTGGAGGTAAATATAATTTAGAAGTTAATTAAATGTAATTTTCACACTTAATTCTTATTGATCCAGTCTCCTACCCATTCCCCACAAGTATGTAGTTTGTATTTATTTGTTTATTTATTTAATTTTTAAAGATTTTATTTATTTATTTGACAGAGAGAGAGAGACAGCGAGAGAGGGAACACAAGTAGGGGCAGAGGGAGAGGGAGAAGCAGGCTTCCTGCCGAGCATGGACCCCGATACGGGGCTCGATCCCAGGACCCTGGGATCATGACCTGAGCCGAAGGCAGACGCTTAATGACTGAGCCACCTAGGCGCCCCAAGCATGTAGTTTTAATATACACATTTAGCCAAGAAATGTTTCTGAAGGAGCTATCATATTCAGCACAATCACCATTACAGCCTTAGTACTTCCTTTGGTCACAGACAGACATTTTTTCTTTTATGTATTATATTGTAGACTACACTGAGTACTGAGCTTCCATAAATAAAAGAAGAGAAAGGTGAGACCTACACAAGAAAACTCCACTGCTTTGGATAATAACAGCATAAAGTGATATCGGGCCACATGTTGTTATACTTTGAATATGGTTGTGAAACCATAAGAGTTATTGTTAATTAGTCCAAATTTCTCTTGTCAGCCTTTTATAGAGATGTACAAATTAGGAACAAATCAGGGGCAGCTGGGGGGCTCAGTCTGTTAAGCGTCTGACTCTTGGTTTCGGCTCAGGTCGTGATCTCATGGGTCATGAGATCCGGCCCTGAGTGGTACTCCACCCTCAGTGGGGAGTCTGCTAGAAGATTCTTTCACTCTGCCCCTCCCCTCACTCATGCACATGCATTCTCTCTCTTCTTCTCTCTCTAAAATAAATAAATAAATCTTAAAAGAAAAAATAAATCACCATTCTCTAACAATGAATATTCCAAAATTTAAAGAAGAAATATAATTTAATATTATCTTAATGTTTACTTCAGTAATCATGTTTGTGTTAAATTTATAATTTGTTTTAAGGGATGTTTTCATCCTTTGTGAGCAATGGAACCTACTTGTAGTCAATATGCTCAGGTCTTTTGTACACATGTTATAGAAATTATAGCTTAATGTTACTATTTTCAATAGTTATAAAATCTTATGGTAAGAGATACACTTTCATTACATTGCTAATTATTTCTGTGATTGATGTAAAAATTATTAGTAGTGAGACAACCTCCAGTTATACATAGTATCTGTGATAAAATACTATTCACTTAACAATTCTGCCTTTTATCTTGTTGTTTCTAGTAACATGTAGATATGTTTTATGTTTTCAATATATAGGAAGGATGTGATAAACTGGGGGGAATCAACTTCTACCTTGAATGACTCTTACTATATCTTCATAAACATACAAATATAAGACAGCAGAAAAGGCAAAAGTTCTCTGAAAATTTGCAGTTTTGAAACTCAGAAAGAGATGAAAAACTGCCACCAAAAATACCTCCTTAAATAGGGCTTACACCCAGTCAGTCACAGGACTAGAACCTTAGGTAATTTTGTTCTGACACCACACCTAAACTAGTTTAGACATACACGATGAAACACTCATCGTGGACACACATGGAGTTGAATTGTCTTTGTGCCTCTTTTTCCCCAGATGTGGACCAGCTAGTAAAGTGTTCCCATGAGCGTTCCATTCATCTCTTTATTGACTCTCTGCTGAATGAAGAAAATCCAAGTAAGGCCTACCGGTGCAACTCAAAGGAAGCCTTTGAAAAAGGGCTCTGCCTGAGTTGCAGAAAGAACCGTTGCAACAACTTGGGCTATGAGATCAATAAGGTCAGAGCCAAAAGAAGCAGCAAAATGTACCTGAAGACACGCTCTCAGATGCCATACAAAGGTAGGCTGGAGAATGTTGTGAATAAGGAAAATCAATTTGATGTTTATCATGCTCATTGCATCACATGTACTGAGTCTGTCCATCACCAACAGAGGTAGCGAAATGATGTTACTAAACCCTGAACCCTCACTTCCCATTGCCAGTAAGGCCCAGTGCACAACCTGTGCTGCCCTATGCAGCAGCCTTGCTTGCCATCCTCCTCTGTAATTGTGACCCCTAGCATGGGCCAGCCCATTAGTATCAGGCTCTGAGCTAATTTGAATCCATCCATCTATCCAGGGTCAGCAAGCAAACTATGGCCCATGGGCCAAATCCAGCCCACCACCTGCTTTTGTAAAGAAAGTTTTATTAGAATACAGCCACACATGTTCATTTTTGTATTGACTAAGGGTGCTTTTATGCTACTGCAGCAGAGTTAAGTAGTTGGGACAGAGACTGTATGGCCCAGTAAAGTTTATTTGCTATCTTGCCCTTCATAGAAAAAAGTTTGCCAACTCCTGAAGTTTGCTTTAAGTGAAAGCAAAAATTACCTGTATTTTAAAATTCAACTATTCCTGGGAGGGAAGAATATACCAAACCTCAAGATATTTCCATTTTGTCATGAATTTGTACGCAGTTGAATTTCAAACTTGTTTAGAGCAAAATTTATAAGGACTGAAGAGAAAGAAGAGAGGAGATACCAAGGAAATCTGACAAGAGGAACTAAGACCAGAAAAGCTAACTTATGTGGAGTCCAGATGGAAGTCTGAGGGAAGGGATGATATTGAAGTATAGTTTTCCAAGGTAAAATGTATCTGATGGAGGCAACTATTTGTAAGGTGGTTTGTTAGAACCTCTATAGTGGTGTGTTTGGTGGCCCAAAGGTTTGGAGCAAAAATAATTCAAGGAAACCTTTTAAGCAATGAGGAAACCCTTAGTTTCCCTGACTCTTCAGAATGAGAAAGTGGGTGTGAGGTATAGAGGAGACTGGAATCTTCTGAAGACTCATCCCCAGGCGTCCTGCTCAGTGCTATGCAGTGCTCCATCACTATTCTTGGGGGTACTTCGGCAGTCTCAACTTCCCCTGCTCTGTCTGTGGTGATGCCTGCAAGGGCTCCATTCAACCCCAAACTCTGTTTCTCCTCACCTTTAGTAGCTGTGTGTTAAGCCTGCTGCCTTTCCTATCTCTTTAACCTCCACCATCCCATCTACTGAGGGTTTTTAGTAGAGATGGGGAGAGCAGGGAGGAAATGTAGAAGTTCAAGTATCTGCTTCCAGAGGTTCTCCCTAATACAGAACACATCAGGAACTAGCAGTCTTTATGGCCTCACTGATGATTCAATGAATAAGTTTGGTTGTGAGCCTGCTATAATACCTGCTCTGTGCTAGATGGTGGGGGGATAAAGAGGGTAAACGTGATCTTCTGACCTGAGGGAATTTACACATAGGTAGGGAGTCAGACGTACCCATAAAACATGAAGAAACAGTCACATACAGTGTCCCATTAACAAATGCCAAATATGTTCCATACAGATATTCGGGGACAAGATGGCCAAGAAAGGGTAGAGTTCTTGGAGAAAGAATCATGGGTATTTTGGCTTCTTGATTTGATCTCCCTTGTGCCCCATCAAAGATGACTACTTTCCAGGACTGCTTAACAATTCATACACACCTGGATTCCTCCTATCCACTTACAACCACTTTCCTGAAAGGGAGTGGAATTCAAGGTCTCAATTTTCTAGTAACAAACACTGTGCAGATATGAGGAAATCCTTCACACTGATAGTCATGTGTGAACACTTCCTATTTAATGGTTCAGAATTCTGTGGTTATGATTTGCGTTTATTTGGGGGCGGTGGTGTTTCCATAAAAACTGATCAGCATTTGTTCCAATTTTCTCCCTACAGTCTTCCATTACCAAGTAAAGATACATTTTTCTGGGACTGAGAGTGGTACACAGACCAACCAGGCCTTCGAGATCTCTCTGTATGGCACTGTGGCCGAGAGTGAGAACATCCCTTTTACCCTGTGAGTAGCCACATGACATTTCCTCCAGCATGTGGAGGAAGAAGAGTAGGACATTTGGAAAAGAAGTGGTCAACATATTTTTTTAAAAAAAGCTTTATGGGAAAAGATACTCATTACATTAGTACATATAATAGCATGGATTAGAAACAAAATAAGTACCCAACATTGAGGCAATGGTTAAATGAATTGTGGTTGTGGTTTAAAGTCAATACAATCAATCTAGTTTCTAAAAACTATAATTATAGAAAACCAGGTAAAACATGGCAAAAAGTGGAAAGTAAAATATGAAGTAAACAAAGAAAGAATAGAGAATTTTATGTATCCTGTGACTTTAACAAAGTAAACATGTTCACATAGCAATATAGATTGAAAGGGGGTATATGAAGATGAATATAAATGTCTCTGAATGATTGATTTATGGACTTTTTTCTTAAGAATTGTATTAAATAGTTCATACTGTTTGTGTAAAGTTAGAATAGATTAAAAGGGTGTAGATATCTTTTAAAATACCCTAAATGCCATTGATCTTGAGTATTTTGCTGGACATTTTTTGCATTTTTAAAATATTCCCAAACAATAAAGCTATTTGTGTCTTGGGAGGAAGAAGAATGAAAAAAACAAAAGACCAAAAAACAAAAAACTTGTTTCCACAACTAACCAAATATGCTGATTTTTTTCTTTAGGCCTGAAGTTTCTGCGAATAAAACCTACTCCTTTCTAATTTACACGGAGGTGGATATTGGGGAACTGCTAATGTTGAAACTCAAATGGAAGAGTGATTCATACTTCAGCTGGTCAGACTGGTGGAGCAGCCCTGGCTTTGCTATTGAGAAGATCAGAGTAAAAGCAGGAGAGACCCAAAAAAAGTAATTAAATGTATTTTTCTCCATTCATGTTAGACTCACTGTGTCCTTACCTAGGGATAATGGAGCCTTCAACATTCAGGTGGAACTTTAGTAAGCTTTTTCTTTAAAACTATATAAACTAGATAATTACACCTATAATTTTGGGGAGGAGTATTCTTTTATTATCGTACCAGAGAAGTAATAGTATTTCTGAATTTCATGGAAAGAAAATATAAGCCCTGAACCGATCACAATTATTGAGTGAGAGCTGAGATTTTAAGTTGAGGATCTCAGCCTCTCATTTAGCACTGTTTCTGCAAGCACAAAACAGTTATGGAAAGAATCTCAGAGATGTTACTTTGACATTCAAAGATTAAAATCAACCTCTTCAAGAAGAATGAGATTCCAAGGTAATCTCATCCTGTCTCCCCACCCCCACCTCATGTATATCTATAAATTAATTGCATAGAGAGCCCCATAGGATTTAAAACTTTTTTACTAAATGTATAGGGATTTTGCAAACTATAGTGTGCCATTATTGTTAATAAAAATGACTCTTTAAATTAAGACTGATAAATTTTTTCTCTCTGGTCATTTTCTTTTATAACAAACAAAACAAACAAACAACAACAACAAAAAACAAACAAAAAACAGGTTGTGGGTGGAGAGGCTATGCAGAGCATTTGTTTCTCTAACAGGACAGTTGAAGAATGGTTTGTGAATTCCCTAATGCAGATACAAGGAAGTGGTAAAGTTGATCTTGTATCACCTCGTCGTGGTAAAAGCTTTGTGATTTTGAGGCTTCTCCAAGCTGTCTATATCCTGTCTAGACTGATTAACTCTACTGTTGAACAGTGGGTTAGGCCCTCAAATAACTCTCTGGTTCAGATGTGTTGCTGACCAGAATGGCCTGACTTTAAACAGTTATTGGAAATACCAGAATAATTAATCATATTGATCAGGTAGGATTTAACCAGCCCTGACCAAACCATATATTTTCGGTTGTTTCTCTTTTCCCATATGACATGTTCACATTCATTTTCTTCTACAGAGTAATCTTCTGTTCCAGGGAGAAAGTGTCTCATCTGCAGAAAGGAAAGGCATCTGTGGTATTTGTGAAATGCCATGACAAGTCTCTGAATAAAAAGTCTGGCTGGTGAGCATCATGGGCTAAAGATCCTCGGGTATCCTGAGCTTGCACTCAGGGACACTGCTTCATACATTGCTCTTCGTCCCATAACTAAAGACTTGCACTGGTTCTTGTGGCTAGAATCTTCAGGTGGTCTTTCTTAGCCCTTCCATGTACACATTGGCCTGGCCCATTTGTTTTTGTCAGTACTTCCTCCTTTTTCTTTCTCTTTCTGTTCTTTTATTTTCCTTTTGCACTACCACAAAAACTTTACTGCTGCTTTTTTCTGTACTGCATCCCTACTACATTTACAGAGCCTGTGTGCAGAGCATACAACACAATAGTCATCATTGTGACTGTGGGTCTAGCCCCTCCAGGGGAGCAAAACATCAGCTGCAGCACATAGGACTTCTTGGTGCTCCAAGTGGCAGCAGACTCCAGGACAGAGAGCCAAAAAGGGGCAGCCACCAAACATCCATCTCAAAATCCCCAACGATGGGGAGCTAATGGAGTTAGAATTTAGGAGATGGTTTTCTTTTCCATCTGAAAACAATCCCCTGGCTCTTTCCTACTGACCCTTAAGACTAATCCATATGGCAGCTGTCAACTAAATCTTTCCAGAGTGTCAATACTAAGTGGAGATTAAGCATGTGACTTTCTCCATGCCCTCCTGGATTCTCACATTATCTCACTTTCATTTGTCTACTCATTCCCCTGCCAGATACCAAGTACTAATGGGTTACAAATATAAGGGGGGAAAAGCTTAGATCACGTCATACAAGCGAGGGAAACAAGAAACAATGGGAAAGGCTGGTCACAACACCATCCAGAAATAGAAAAAACAATTGCTTCTGGTTTGTCTTCTCTCAGTTACATTGATAAACAAAAGTACAGAATAAGAATTGCCTAATCAGAGAAGTATATTAAAGACCCCATGTGGAATTTCTATTATTATTTTAAATTTCTATTTTATGTTGTAATTTATCCATGGATAATTATGGATTATAGATAAATCAAGAAAAATAGGCAAAAACAAAATCATTGTGACTCTATTCCCCTGGAATAACTCCCAATTAACATTTAAATTTATATTCTTTCAGACCTTGTCAATGCATATATAATTTTTATATTTTTTCATTTTTTACAAAAATGGAATTATGACATACACTTTGAACAATAAGATGAAGCCACTTGATTAAAAACATTAATGTAAGAGTACTCAAGATAAACTTAAAATGGAAAATAGTTGATGGTACTGAGCCAGGCAGAATAACTGAATTTTTATCTAAGTGGACTAGTCTACTCAGAGGTTAATTGCTTTGTTTTCCCTCATCACAAATCTGAGACAATTTCATATTTGCTTTAACTTTTAAAAGCGACTCCTCTGTGAAGTTTTATACATTCATTTATGTCACATACAAACACACACAAACACTTGTATATATACATTCTCCCCAAATCATCCATAACTTTGACTATATGTGAATGTAAAAACAAAATCTGAAAAATCAGGAAATATCTCCAGCTGTTTTAAAAGTATTTCTGGTCAATTATTTACATAAGTCACAATCATTTATCTAAGAAAGTCTATTGATACATTCCTTGTCTGATTACAGGATTACTGAGACCACAGATATTTAGGTGGTTTTTCTGTATACATCTGAACTTTATCTAGGAATTATGATTCAGACTAATAACTACTTCTGCAGTTTCTCTATTCTGTCACTAAATTAATGAAAAGTTCTCTGTCTCTTATCTTCTGATATAACTCTTTAGAAGACTCATATCACAAGAAAAGAAAGAATCAGACATTTCATTTGACAAGTTTTAGAATTAAGAAATCTTAAATCAGGAGCACCTGAGTGGCTCAGTTGGTTAAGCGTCTGCCTTCGGCTCAGGTCATGATCCCAGGGTACTGGGATTGAGCCCCGCGTCGGGCTCCCTGCTCAGCGGAGAGTCTGCTTCTCCCTCTCTCTCTGCCCTGCCACTCCCTCTGCTTGTGAGCACTCTCTCTCTCTGTCAAATAAATAAATAAAATTAAGAAAAAAAAAGAAATCTTCTTAAATCATATCGTCTTTGAAATCATTTGATTCAGTCCTCTGAAAATGATAGTCCTTATTGGGACATGGCTTAGTAGATCTTAGAGTGTCTTTCATTCCCACAAGCCTGCCGTTATCTACATCTGATCCATTATCCTCATGTCCTCTGGGTATATACTCATAACCTTTGTTCTGAACTTCCAGTTGGATAACTTTTTCATCATGAAGGTGGGAGGGGGTGGATTGTAAAACACTAAGCAAATAATAAATTGCCCTTCCTCTGCTTTTTCTCAGAACCTGGGCAAATCTACAGAAGGAAGAACAGCACATGAATTTTATGAAGAATGAAATCACTTTTACAAAAGATGCCCAGTGCTTGGGTGTTTCAAAGAGAATTTTCCTGAGTATTAATCCCTAATTAATAATTAATTAGTTATTTTAGGATACAGTCTTAAATACCCAAAAAAGTGGCTAATTCAATTTGAGGAATATAGTGGCCAAATAGCACATCATTAAAAGAGCACAGATTTAAAAATCACTGTTTTGTCCTTTGAAAAAGAAATAAGAACCATTTTGGCTCATGGTAACATAATACACCTTCTTTATCTAGTGAGTTTAACCATAGCCTAAAATTAAGTAGAATCTCACTTTTTAATCAGAAGCTTGCATTTTCTGGACTGATACCTTCTCAATGTTTTCTCCAAGTGTGAATATAGAAAATGATTTTTTTTTTTTTTTGGTGGCATGAGTTGGACCCATTTTCTTACTAGTCAAAACACCTGACTTTTTTGGAATGGTTTTTCTCTTGCCATCAGGTTCTGTGTTGCCCAGGAGTTAACCAGGGACTAGTGACTTGGAGAGAGGAATAGAAAATGAAATTGGTAAATCACTGAAACTTTAAACCCTCCCTGCAGCTGGTTGCATCATTGCTAAGTTACAAATTAAAAGAGATATAAAATTTAGACCAATTCAGTCTTAATAGGCTTATAGTTTGTCGCTTAATCTCTACCTGCCATTTGTCTCAAGATTATATTTTAACAGTGCTTTCTAGGTTGGTGTTTTACATGAGCCTGTTATTGTCAACTGACACATAATTTTAACTATGGGGAAAGAAAATGATACCACAATTTCATTAATCAGATTTCTGAAGTTATATTCATCAATTTGAGGTCATTTAATATCTGATAGGCACTGTTCAATTTTAGGTTTATCTCAGTCATGCTTCAATCATACTTTGAGCATGTCTCTTCCCTGGTTTTAGTAAGAAAATATGTACTCAAGGTCAAATTTTACATCACGCAAACTTCTATAAATTTTAGACAAGGGTCATTGTTACTAAGTTAGGAGGTGAAAAATTATATATCCATAAACAGTGCTTAAAACCACTGTGAGCAATTAAAAGAATCCTCAATTGCCATAGCCACATGAAATGCCATGAGAGGTGTTATTTTTAACAGCTAGTCCAGAGTGAGTGAACAGTTATTTATAAACTAGATATCATATTTTCAGAATGATCTTCTATATATTAATATAAATTGATAAACAAGTAAAATGTCTCAAAGACTATTGCTGGGAATCCAAACTATAAACATGTGTGGGTATCTGAACATATGACTCACATATGAAGCCCCACATGTACATTTATTATTCAGCATAGCTTGGAAAGTAAACAAGAGATACAGTATTAGGATGTATTGAAGTAGAAATTATTCCAGAGGTACTAGAACTTAAGCCCTTCATTTGAGAAATATGGTTATACCTATACAAAGTAGGATGAATGCTGTGATAGATATCAGCCAACTTGGAATGAATTTTTTCTAAAAATAAAATATTGTGAGATTTGTTGTTGTCATCCCCCTTTATTGCTAATTCATTAATTTTCTGGATTTGGGTTTTGAACAAGGGTGCATAAACTTCAGAAAATATGGATCCAATCAGTGTATGGCCCTAGGAACTCTGGCTTCTACAGACTTCATTATATATATTTAAACAATGCTTTGGCTTTAAATGTTATTTATTAACTGTAAATATATGTGTGTATGAGTAAAGGGAAATTGTATATCAGAAAGGTTTTGGCTAAGGGCATTTATAGACATGTGGTGCTAACTTTGTACATGTCTTTGTCAGTGACGGTCTCACTGAGCCAACTTACTCTGATGAAATAATACCATAAAGTGACTTTTTTTTAAAGGAAACTTAATTAACTATGTTAAGAAATGGAATCTGGTTTTAATAAAATTGACAAAATTTTATTACAACACTAAGTCATTATTTTGTATTGTTTTAGCTCCCTAAAAAGATATTTATTCTTAGGGCAGATTCATTCAGCACATTTTTACTGAGTAAAATTTACTGAGTAAATTACTATACTTGGTAAAAAATTTAACTTCTAAAAATTATAATACTCATTATATTTTATTTTTATATTTACATTTGTACAAAACCTTAGAAATCCTTTAAACTATAGAGGAAAATAATACAGATTTTTTTCCTAAATAAAATGCACAGAATTTTCCTTGCCTGCCCCTACTTTTTCACTAGTAAAATGTTAAATTAATATAAAAAATTTTGACCGCTTTCTAGAATATGTTATCTTTATTTCTGAGGTCTAATTGTTACCTACGAAGTGAGTTTGTGCAATAAAATTAACTATTTGGTGTGGGAAGGTGCATTTTTTAGAACTTTCCTTTGTGAAAAGAACAACATAGCCATATATGCAACTAAGTAGAGATTGCTTCTTAGTGCAGTCAGAAAGAATTTCATACAGAAAACAATTGTTTCAGTGGCCACTGATCCAAAACATCATTGTTAGTTAGATATAGGGTCTTCTGGACTGGGGTCCCCTTGACAGGAAGAGACTTCCCCAATTTAAACTTTCCTTACTGTCCATCAATGCCTGTTGATATAATCAAAAAGACAAATAATAACAGGAGTTGGCAAGGCTGTAGAGAATTGTGAACCTGCATATATTGCTAATGGGAATGTAAAATGGTGTGGCCACTCTGGAAAACAGTTTGGAAGTGTTTTTAAAAATTAGTTACAGAGTTTAACCCATTTGACTCAGTGATTCCACTACTAGGTATATACCCAAGAGGCCTGAAACGTATGTCCACAAAGATTTGACAAAATGTTCATAGCAGCATTATTCCTAAGAGCACCAAATTGGAAGCAACCCAAATGTCTGTCAACTGGTGAAGACATAAAAGAAAACGTGGTATGTTCATACAAAGGAATATTATTAAAAATTAAAAGAATGAACTCCTGGTATCTGCTACAACATGGACGTACCTTAAACTCTTGTTATATGAAAGGATCAGATGCAAAAGACAACATATTGTATGATTCCACTTGTATGAAATTTTCAGAAAAGGCAAATTTATAGAGAAAAAAGTAGATTTAGTTGTTGCCTGGGGATGAGAGTTGGAAGAAAAATTAACTACAAATGAATATAAGGGATATTTTGGGGGATTGTGGTAATGGTTGCACAACTCTGTACTTTACTTAAAAAATTATATTGTACACTTAATAATATGGGTGACTTTTATGGCACGACTCAATAAAGGTCTTAAAAATGTATATGCATAGACCTGTGGGTATAGACACAATCACATTACATATATAACCTATGAAAACTATAATTTGGAGACACTCCCATCTTGCCCCTATAGGAGAAATCTGCAGTGTTTATCTACTATCCTCTAACACCAGCCTTGTCTATCCCAGGGCCCAACACATGGCACTTATGAGTGAATGCTGCCATAACCTTGTTCTATTAAAAATGTTTTATTTTAGGGTGCCTGGGTGGCTCAGTCGTTAAGTGTCTGCCTTCAGCTCAGGTCATGATCCCAAGGTCCCGGGATCAAGCCCCACATCGGACTCCCTGCTCAGTGTGGAGCCTGCTTCTCCCTCTCCCACTCCCCTGCTTGTGTTCCCTCTCTCGCTGTATCTCTCCCTATAAAATAAATATATAAAATCTTTAAAAAGTGTTTTATTTTATATATGCAACTGATAAATCACTAAATTCTACCTCTGAAACTAATAAAAAAATTTAAAGAATGTCTTATTTTAGCCTGATTCAGTTAGACTGCAGGCCAATTTTTGATGCACTAATCGTACTGTAGAAATGTTATTATAGAGATGAACCATGAGAGATGATGGACTCGGAAAACAAACTGATGGTTCTAGAGGGGAGGTGGGTGGGGGGATGGGTTAGCCTGGTGATGGGTATTAAAGAGGGTACGTTCTGCATGGAGCACTGGGTGTTATGCACAAACAATGAATCATGGAACACTACATCAAAAACTAATGATGTACAGGGAAATCCAAATCAAAACCTCAATGAGATACCACCTCACACCCGTCAGAATGGCTAAAATTAACAAGTCAGGGAACGACAGATGTTGGTGGGGATGTGGAGAAAGGGGAACCCTCCTACACTGTTGGTGGGAAGGCAAGCTGGTGCAACCCCTCTGGAAAACAGTGTGGAGGTTCCTCAAACAGTTGAAATTAGAGCTACCATTCGATCCAGCAATTGCACTACTGGGTATTTACCCCAAAGATACAAATGTAGGGACCTGAAGGGGTACGTGCACCCCAATGTTTATAGCAGCAATGTCCACGATAACCAAACTGTGGAAAGAGCCAAGATGTCCATCGACAGATGAATGGATAAAGAAGAGGTGGTATATATACACAATGGAATATTATGCAGCCATCAAAAGGAATGAGATCTTGCCATTTGCAACGACGTGGATGGAACTGGAGGGTGTTATGCTGAGTGAAATAAGTCAATCAGAGAAAGACATGTATCATATGATACATTCCTCACTGATATGAGGATTTCTTAATCTCAGGAACAAACTGAGGGTTGCTGGAGTGGTTGGGGGTGGGAGGGATGGGATGGCTGGGTGATAGACATTGGGGAAGATATGTGCTACGGTGAGCGCTGTGAATTTTGTAAGACTGTTGAATCACAGATCTGAAACAAATAACGCAACATATTTTAAGAAAAAAGAAAAAGAAGAAGATAGCAGGAGAGGAAGAATGAAGGGGAGTAAGTCAGAGGGGGAGACGAACCAGGAGAGATGATGGACTCTGAAAAACAAACTGAGGTTTCTAAAGGGGAGGAGCGTGGGGGGATGGGTTAGCCTGGTGATGGGTATTAAAGAGGGCACATTCTGCATGGAGCACTGGGTGTTATGCACAAACAATGAATCATGGAACACTACACCAAAACAAATTATGTAATATATGGTGATTAACATAACAATAAAAAAATAAAAAAAACTAATGATGTAATGTATGGTGATTAACATAACATAATAATAAAAAATAAAAGACAAAAATGTTATTATAAAGATAATTATCCTCTAAATGAGTCTTATTGGGGATTTTAAATATTTAAAATATCAAAAAAACATTTTTAGAAGTAGCAGATTTTTAGAAATCACTTAATACAGCACTGTCATTTTTTAGTTGATATAATAAGCTCAGAGAGGTTAAATAACTTGCCTAATATACTACTAATTAGTAACACATGAAACTAGGACTGATTCTTACTGATTAATAACTTAGTATATCCGCCTACATTTACATTATTCTGCCTCCCAAATATATTAAAAATATGTGCTTAAGTATAAATTAATTTCATATACAAACAGCACAATGCATTTACCATTAGAAGATACATGCTGGGACTTCTAATAGTGGAAAAGGGATTTGTATTAATCCCATCACACTCTTTGTGACTATTGACACAGCATGCATGTAGTGATGAAGTTTCCCACTAAGTACACTACCTTCCATGGCTCCTGACTGGTTCATTACATCTCAATTCTTCATTTTGTTATCATAGTATTGTACACAGAGAACTATGTATCTGCAGCTCAAACATATATGTAGAACAATTGGAATAGTGTAGCAATCAGCCATTAAGTTGGCCCCAAAGATTCTCACCTCTTGTTATTCACATCCTTGGATAGCCACCTCCCACATTGACTTTTGTGACTAGTAGATATGGAAAAGGTGATGATACATCATTTCCAAAATTAGATTTTAAAAGTACCACCTTCTATTTTGGCTGTTCTCTCATCTGTCTCTCCTCTTGGGTTATTCACTCTGGAGGAAACCATGTTGTGAATGTCCATATGGAGAGGCCTATGTAGTGAAGGACTAACATCTCTCAACAGCCACAAGGATGAGCTTGGAAGTGGATCCATCAAATTCAGTCAAGCCTCTGAGCCAGCAGCCCTGGCCAATAGTGTGAATGCAAATTCATGAGAGATTCAGCAATATATTCCAAATCCTTGACCCACAGAAACTGTGAAATAATGTTTATTGTTCTAAGCCGCTAAATTTTGAGATAATTTGTTATGGAGTAATAGATAACTAAGAAATATACTTTACCTACAGACAAGACTTTAATAGTTTTTTGTTTGTTTTGTTTTATTTATAAATTAAACATTTATAAAACCATATTTCAAAAGAACCAAGGAAAGTTACATTTTGAAGGAAACTTCTTTCTCCCTTCACTTTAGTAAGGCAAAGGATAATAGATAATCAGCTATTTGGTTTCTATTCTTAGTGTTTCATTTTTGTTTTTTAAAAATAATATACTTCTTCCATATAAAAAGATTATGTATAGAGTCATACTTATATGTAATGAAATTTGCAGCTAAGAATGATCAGATAACTTTCAAACTAAATTCCTTCCTTCCCATAGCACTGCCATCCAGAAAACTAATTTCATACAGAAATATCTCATGAGATTTCTGTCATTTAGAAATTCTTTATACTTGAGTTAGCTATCTTACCCTGGCCACATCAGTCTTTACCCATTAGCACTATTACAAGTTAGTAGCTTGTCTCCCTTCTATTATTATGGGTTTATAGACAGTTGTGTCACTATCCCCTTCAATTCAGGGGCTGGGAGCTTCCTGATGAGACATGCCAAGTCCTTCTTGAGGTTTCTACAAGTTAATCAACTGAGGGACAAAAAACTCCGTCAGCATTTGCCTCAGAGTTGCTGACCATGCTTGTTGAATGAATGTCTTCTGTGTTCCATGTTTACATGTAGCCTGGAATTTCCAAATTCATGGAAACTAATGAGAATGAAAACACATCAGTTCAAAACCTTTGGGATATAGCAAAGGCAGTCCTTAGAGAGAAGTACATTGCAATACAAGCCTCTCTCAAAAAATTAGAAAAATCTGAAATATAAAAACTAACCTTACACCTAAAGGAGCTGGAGAAA